ATAAACACTCGATTTATGGTTGTTCATTGAAGGATGAGACTCTCAGGAAGGTGTATTTTAGAGGAAAGCAGAATCAATGACTATATGAAACAGAAAATAAGTAAACAGGCAGAAAAAGAATTATGATACTATAATATCAGACATGTTATTGCAAACAGGGTTTTTGTTTTTCGTATTTTGTTTTTATTTTTGTTTTGTTTTGTTCTGCAAACAGGTGCTTGAGAAGAAAGCGGTTGATTGTATCAACTGTGCAAGGAAAATACTGAAAGGACTGAGAGCGAGTGACTAATTTTTCGGTGACTTTTGAGAGAATAGTTGCAGGAGTGAATTGTACTGAAAAAAAATTGGCTAAGAAGGATACTGACAGTAAAGAGAGGGACACAATGTGTAAGCATATACTATTCATGAAACGTGATGAGGGCAAAAGGAGGATATAAAATTCAAAGCATGCTACTCATGGTTACTGAATGAGGAGAAGTCAGTATAGCGAAGACATTGATTTTTTTCAGTAGCATTTGAGTTCGTGTTATGTCCTGCATATACAGGGTCACTCTCCTGAGACAGATTATCTTCATTGTTCGTCTGGCACTGCAGTACCCCTCCCCATCTCGCTAGGACCTTACTCTCACTTTTTCCCATCTTCTTAACCCCCACTGACAGATATTTCTAAAAGTAAATATGATCCTTTTATTCCAATCCTTACATGTTTCCATTGGCTCTGCCTGACCTTCAGGATTAGGTAGAAAAGGTATAGCATGATTTGCAAAGTTCTTACTAATTAGGCCTTGCTTGATAGCCAGCTTCATGACTTACCACGTCCGCCTGTCCACATGTGACATGCCACCCAACATGCATTTCTCTTGATATGAGAAATCTTGATAAGAGACTTTTCATACCTCTGATGTTTTTTTTTTTTTTTTTTTTTGGTTTTTAATTATCTTCTGTCTAAAATGTGTGCTTTCCTTGTCTTCTCAACTAAGCCATTCCACTTCTAGGTCCAGAACCCTGGAGTAATTTTAACTCTATCCTCTTTCTCATAATCTGCTAAAAAAAAGCTGTCTAGTCACATTCTTCCTAATGCCCTTACAAATCCCTTGAACTAGTTGTTTCATTTTCATTCTCACCAACCCGTGTTTATTGCAGTCTCATATCATCTCTTATTTTACCAGTTATACTGTCCTCACTGGTCTGA